CGTGCCCCGCGGCGGGGGGCGGCTGGTGCCGGGGGGGAGGAGAGGGCTTACAGCAGCGGCTGCTTCCAGAGAGATTAAAGAGCAGGGAAGCTGGGAATCAGGCGAGCGTAAGCGGGTGCGTGCGCTGCTGGCGTTAAGGTAAATGAACTCTTGGACCGAAGTGGTTTACAAATCTCGGAACGGGACATCCAGGTGCGATGGGGGCAAGAGTAGAGTGTGTCTGGTGACTGGTGTGTTTGCTTTGTGTAGGGTCGGGGGGAGGAGTCGTCCCTTTCTCCCAACCGCATCCATGCCCAAGTGTAAGGGATTCTGGCTTATTCTTAAAAGTTTTCCCAAATGTTTATACTTACGGCTTGTGATTGGAAATATCGAAATAAGAAAAAAAAAAGCTGATACTTCTCGTCTCTAGGGTACTACTGTGCATTGCTCATTATTATAGCCAGATCATACGTAGATCTTATTTCTTTAAACGCTCAGTTGCATATTTAAACTCAGTTCTGTATTAGTTGGGCGTTGTCCCTGTGACACCAGGGATGATTCTTCAGTTACATCTTTTGTACCTTAGCCTGCCTCTTGGTTCTAGGGCTGTGCACTGTAATAAGGGTTTCGTCTCAGTTATTGTTCTCTGATGTGCAAGTTCCTCCAAAAAGAGTAAGGTAAGGAGGCAGAAATCTATTATACGATTTTAATATGTAGTTTCCACAAAAGTTGTAAATGCCAGATCGTTTCAAAGAAGTCAGTAAGTCCTTCTTGAATGGTCGGTTCAAAGATGAACCTTTTTTAACAAGTTGCTTCCTTAAGATATATTTTCTTTTTCCTCAAGAATGTCAAATCTACCAGGGCATTCAGTCTGTTATGAAAGCTTTCTTCTCAGTAGAGAGATTTTTGGTATGCACAGGAACAGGTACATTAAATTCTTCTTTGCCTCTCAAAGAAACTCTGCATTATTTTGCAGCTAATGTCTTGTGCTCTTTCCTTTTTCTCACTGTAGTATCACCTCAAGGCTGCTCTGAAACAAATTACATTTTGGTTGAAATATCTGTTTTCACCATAACTACGTTTATGAAATGTTTTGCTGATGTTTAACTGAAAGGCTCTTCTTACTCCAGCAATTAATGGAGATACCCACTTCAGGGACTGAAACCATTGTTTCAAACTATAGTTTTAAAAGGATAACTTAAAATAGAGCTCTTGGAACAATCCACAGATTGATTGACTCTAAAACCAAGAACCTCTACCTTCAAAAACATTGTACTTGCTGTCCTTTCGGGTGGAGGAGAGATAAAATTGCCACTCTCTTAAATGCATCAATAACAAGTTGCTAGTTGCTCTTTTCTTTTGCTGGACTTAATCAGTCATAGAACTGGAAGGAACCTCTAGAGGTAATCAAATCCAGAGCATTGATCTAGCATCATCTTCTAGAGCAATGGTCATCTGAAATCTTGTGCTATTTTAGGTCAATATTTTAACAAATTGGGTAAGGGCAAAACTAATGCCCCCTTCAAAAAAGAAGAAAATGGTAGGTGATCATGAAGAATTCTTGATTGGTGTTCCTACTTGAGATCTAGCTTAAGATGTTACATATTTCAAGATATTTTGGGGAAAAATCATAGTTAAGATCAACTACTGTGTTAAAGCACTGTATGATGAAGGGGAGTCTTTGTATATTTTAGGAACTGTTTGTGTACCTTGGAGTGGAAAGCTCTATTTATTGGAAGTCCTTGAAATAATTTTTTTTTTGTGGATTTGACTTTCTGTTTTTAGTAATTGAACAGCCATCTGTATAGTATAAGGCGATCATACTAACTATAATGTCAATAAGCTGTTTAGATTGTTTTGTAATTGTCACTTTTTTTTCCTAGGTACCAAAAATAAGTCTCAGTTTAGAGAACCAGTACTTCAACTATGTCATCCAGACCTTTTGAAAGTCCTCCACCTTATCGACCAGATGAATTGTAAATATTCTCTTTTCTTCTTTGGTTACTACTTTAAATAACTCCAGATAAGCAAGTGTACATAGTTGAAATTCATATCTTTAACAGCTTATTTATACAATTGTTAACAGTAACTGTGTCAACTGTCTTCAAGTTGCTGCTGTTAGCCTATATCTGGCTACGTATTTAACAAAAAAGGAAATGTCTGTCCAGCACATATAGTGTGTTCTAATAGCTTGTTTACCACTTTACAGGATGCTTTTTGTCTCTTCCATGTGTAAACTAATCAAACAACAGTTAATTAGTGATAGAAATGTAGCCGTGTTATTCTGGGGTAGCTGAAGCAAAATGCAGAACAATGTAGCACTTTAAAGACTAACAAGATGGTTTATTAGATGAGCTTTCGTGGGCCAGACCCACAATTAATTAGTGATTGCTGCACTCAGTGTTGCAATACCTGTCTATCAACGGGGTTGAAACTCCTTAGTGCCTACATTCCTTTTAAAAATGAGATTTAGGCTCCTAAATCAGATAGGCATTATAAAGTTGAGTGCCCTTCCTTCTAAATAGCTTTACAAATGGCCCTACTGTTTGGTATGATAAATACTGCAAATTATCACTCTTAAACATTCTCTGAGTTCTCCAGAGCACACATTCCAGTAATCTTTAAATGCCAGTGGTCAGAGTGGATTAATTTCAACCCTCTAATATTATTTGTGAACAACTATCATAAAAGCGCATGAGAAAATAAAATGTCTTTTTGGAGGAATATATGCATTCCATTGAAAAATATAGGACTCTTTAAAAACTGTCTAAATCTGACCACTTCCTGAATTAATCTAACTTCATGTGTTGTGCACTACAGTTTTTTTAACAGTTTTTCACAACTGCTGAAAACTTAAGTTGATAATTTTTTCTTTTTATTGCAGCAAACCTTCTCACTATGTACCAAGCAACATTACGTATGTTGAGGACATGCGTTCTCAGCCCATGTACTCTCAACCAGCATACTCCTACTATCCAGAAGATGAAGTGCAACACTTCTACAAATGGACTTCCCCTCCAGGAATAATAAAGATCATGTCAGTTCTCATTATAGTGATGTGTGTGGGCATTTTTGCTTGTGTGGCTTCCACATTGCCTTGGGATTTAGAATTCTATGGAGGTTCATCAATGGGATCTGGTGTTGGATATCCTTCATATGGAGGTTTTGGAGGCAGTAACAGTTATGGCTACGGTTATGGATATGGTGGAGCCTATGGTATTGGAGGAAATTACATTGAGCCCCGAGCTGCTAAAGGCTTCATACTTGCAATGACAGCTTTTTGCTTCATTGCTGGAATGGCAATTTTTGTAACAAGTGTCACCAACTCAAGCACATCCAGAACAAGAAGATATTATCTAATTGTCATAATAATAAGTGCTATCCTTGGTTTCTTGGTATTCATTGCATCCATTGTATATGTACTGGCAGTAAACCCAACTGCACAAGCTTCAGGATCAGTGTTCTACAATCAACTTGTTGCTCTGTGCAGTCAGTATTATACAACTACAAATACAGGAATCTTTATGAATCAATACTTGTATCACTACTGTGTGGTAGAGCCTCAAGAGGTATGTATACATTAATGCCTATTTTCTTCCTTTAAATCGTACACCTAACATGTCTGCGTATAAAACAGTTGGTGTACAAAATCCATAGCTCATCTAGCTAAACTTTTTCTGCTCATTAAACAAATGAATTCTTTAACTACTGCTCTCCCACAAATTAAGAGCCTGAAGAACTTTTATAAGCTTCCAGGAATATAGTAAATTACCATGAGCATGGGTGCAATTAAAATTAATATAAGCTGCAATATAGGAGACCAAAATTAAATCCTTTTTAACTAGAGATGATTTGTTAGCATGCCATCTTTTTTTTTTTCCATTGCCCCATGTCATCCTTGCTCTATCACAGTAAAAGGAGCGAATTACTCTGAATATATTTACATGTGAAAGTAAATCTCATTTCTTTGTCCATGTATTTTAACCTAGTCTCTTGTATCAAATTTATATGCACTGATAGCACCTGTGCAAGAAAAAAGTCACTATAATAAGCCATAACCACTTCTAGGTGACCAATATGACTTTGTGGTGATAAAATTTAAAAAATTATTAAATGTATTATAGTTATTGCAGTTCTAATATGTTGGGCTATTGGAACGTCATAAAATATTAAATTTCAAAACCTTCATTTGATGGTTAAAAGAGACTTTTTATTATCTAAGATAAATACAAGCGCTGCATTTGTGCACTACAGACCTCTTTGTAGAATGCTTCCGTTAACTATATTGTTTCAAACAGTAAGTTTAGTAGACTTCTGGTCTCATTTCCTAAATAGCCAACACAATTTTCCTTAGTCTTTAGCCGAGTGTTCTCTGGTTAAGGCCCCAGAATGTGCTGAAATGAAAACTGCATGTGGCATCTGGGAGGGGTTATGAGATGGTGCTCCCTTTCAAAGTGACCTGCATTTGGGCAGAATTGGGGACTCTCCTTTCATACTGTGCAGAGGCCTTAACATGTGTGGGAGGTATTCTGTTTTGTTTAAAATTTTCTCAAAGTTGACTTCTGTCAGTTTGAAATTATCTGAGGTTGGGAGAACTCTATTGGAGGGATGTGAACAATAAGCCTAAGCTTATAGGTTAATCTAGTTGACTACTCACATTTCTTCTCTTCTCCTGCCTCTGTATGAGAGGCACAAAGGGAGGTGGAGAAGCAGTAGCTGGTGCTGTTTAAAAGCTGGTTCCCTCAGCACCAGCTCTGCTTGGATGAAACATGAAATCAGTACAGGTGTAAAAGTGTGTGTAGAGGGTGGGAGGTTCCCAGCAAAATATACTCTTCCACTAGTCTTAAATAGCTTCAATTTTGTCTTCTTGGTATGCTGCAAAGCCCATGTATTGTTCTGGAAATGGGGGGTGTTCATATGATGAGAAGATGTTGGGATTTTAATTTGAATTAGAATGCTGATTGTTATGTGGAGGGGAGGAGAAAGCAATGGTTTGAGGTTTTTTTTTTTTTCTTGGGGGTTGGCGTGCAGCTTCAGAAGGCGGCATTCTTGATTTTTTTTTTTTTTTTTTTTTTTTTTTTTGGCACCTTGAATAAATGGTCTTGTATTCAAATAATATCTGCTGCATATTTTTCCTTTTTAGGCTATTGCCATTGTATTGGGATTCTTGGTTATTGTTGCTTTTGCCATAATCATATATTTTTCTGTGAAGACCCGAAATCAGATGAATTATTATGGTAAAATGAACATTCTCTGGGATAAAATAAAGGTTTATGAAGAAAATCCCCCCAATGTAGAAGAATGGGTAAGTTTAATGTTGGATGCTTATTCTAAACAGACACAAACCCTCAAATTCAAGGTTTCTGTGCCATAAATTTGATTCAGCTTTATTATAAGTGACATCTTTGTTTAAAACTCCTGTTTAAAAAATCTAATACAATCTTTAAAAATCTGAAAACAAAAAATTCCAGCAGCGTATTTCTAAGAGCAGCTTTACAATAACAAGTCAGTTTGTGCATGAAATAAAGCAAAAGCACTTCAGAAAGCCATTGTTAAACTAGATGTGGTTTTCAGTTTATATAGATGGTTGTTGCCAGTGGTAAAATGGATGTTCTGAGGTGATCAGATTAATCTCTTCAATGATATAAGGATCATAGAAGAGGAAGCATGTAAAATTGCAACAGTACTTCAGTGTAGTCTCCCAGTTATTCTTTCTGGAAACCCTGGAAGTAGATTGTTATATCTGTTACCCAGTTTAGGGAATATCCTTATTAGCTTTTACTTGAGCTCTCTTCCAAAAAGCCAGATAAGTATTAAGCAATCTAAAATAACTCAAAGAAAATGTCAGGGGTATTTGAGTTCTTGATGGTTGAAACTGTGTTCACAGTATTCGTGTGTACCTCATAAGTATGTTATGACTCATGTGAGTCTACCTCTGCTCATTGGACAAAGGTTATGAGCCAGAACTATTTTAGGAACTGCTATAAGGGATAGTTTGAAGTAAGTGTTGTGGAGAGACAGTTTCTGGGTGTGTCTTTTCTTTACTTAACTTATTTACTCATGTTTCATGACAGCAGAAAAGGGAATATATAGGAAACTACCAGTGAAACTGAAAATCCTGATTGACTATCTGGTGTGTTTTGTTTTTTCTCAGTGTAGGGAGGTAGTAGCCTCTCTTTAGTTAAGGTTTCAGTTAGGGATGTGAATGGTTAACCAGTAAGGATGAGGCATAGTGGTTCTGGCTAACCAGTGGGGGCTGGAGCAATTTTAGCTGAAAAAATGAGGTTAAAAGCTTGTTGTTTTGGGGCAGTCCTGCTTTAAGTGATAGTGGAAGTTGCTTTTCACTAAAGTTGAAGAATTGGATTCTACGCATGTGAACATGTTGTCCTCTAATGTCTGGTTGTGTCTTAGAAATAATTAGAGTGGTGTCTAGTTTGATCCTCCCCAACCCCCCAATATGTGGTGGTGATCTTCTTTTAGCTTAAGAAGTAGATGTTTGGTTTTGGATAACAGGCCGTGGTTCCAGTACTGGCTTCATACTTGCCACAATAATTCATGATCATTTTGAAAATGACTTGTTTGTTTTAATCTTAACTCCACACAAGCACATCTGAGAGATTCCTTTGGAGCTTGCTAATACACAGCCTATTGCGTTCTGTTGTATTGAAAGAACCAAATCTTATGTCTCATCCTATCACAGCACACTATTATGATATTAAGTGACTACAAAGGAAAGAGGGTTTTTTTTTTTTAGGGTTCCCCTTTTTGTTTTTTGCCTGTTTTATAAAGATGAGAGAAGTCTCAGTAAAACAACAAAACAAGTAGAAATATCAATCAAGTACAGGTTAAGTCTATTTTCCTGGTTCACTGGAAAACTTTTCTCATGGGACTAGAGCTCCAGAGCTAGGGCTGGTTGGGAAGTATCTGAAAAAAACAGGTTTTAGTCAGAATATGCTGATTAGTTAGAAACAAAATGTTTCATGGAAACAGCAGTTTCAGTGAACTTCTGACAAAAGCAGGCATGGTTCCTTCAGTGGATGGCCAGAGGTGTCCAAACTTTTTTCAAAGAGGGCCAGATTTGATGAAGTGAACATGCGTGAGGGCCGACCATTTTGCCTGACATTCTTTGAACCATTAAAATTAAATGCAAATTAACTATTTTATGCAAAGTTTATTGCAAACGGCATACTTTTCATTTCGTCACATGGATGACAAATCTAAACAGGTGTTAAATCACTCTGCCTTTCATATCTGAAGGCCAGATGAAAAAAAAATCCAGGAAGCTGAAATATATGTCAGGAACATTGTAAAGTACATTACATATTATTGGTAATAAAGGTTGTCTGTCAACTTTTAAGTTAAAAAATATATGAACAGGAACATAACACCAAGTATACATGTTGTGTCCAAATATATTTATAACTGATTTAGACCAACTGACATTAACTGAGATTTTACAATGTATTCATCTCAATACATATGGATTCGTTGGGGGCCATAAAAGATAGATATTGCCAAATTACCTGTGGGGCCGTATTAAACCAGAACACGGGCCGCAATTGGCCTGCGGGCCGGACTTTGGACATGCCTGGTGGATGGCTTTCAGGGTCCATAGCTCTGTGGTAGCCTGGCTATGCTTTGCAGCAGGGAGCACATATGCCCTGAGACCGGGGTGGGCAATAATTTCTTCCGGGGGCCACTTCATGACATTTGGTACACTGTCACAGGTGGGCTCCATCCCTGGAAGGGGCATGGTCTGGGGCAGAAGGTGTGGGGCTGGAGAGTAACCTGCCCCCAGACTTTACTGAGGCCAGAGGCTTTGAATTAAAAACATAGCAAAGGGCTTGCGGCTCCTGGCCTCACCGCTACTGCATTGCCTTCCAGTTGCCTGGGGTTGCTACAGCTATTTAAAAGGTTTGTGGCTCCAGCCCCTGCTGGAGTAGCTCCACGACTGGGAGCTGTTTAAATAGGATCCTGCTGCCTGAGCCACCTCCTGGAAATCTGGTGGCATGGGCAGCAAGATATAAATAGAAAGCGGACAGATGTAGTACGTGGGCCAGATCAAAGTGTTAAGCAGGCTGGATCCGACTCCCAGGATGCATCTTGCCAACCTTGCCCTGAGAGCATTGGGTAAGCCATCTTCATCAGTTTTCTTAAATGGGACAATTTTTCCTTTGGTGATAAATCTTGTTGAGTGTCTGTCATAACTTTATGCTTTAATTTTCAGTTGTTCATGTCCATTTTGAGAGGAAAACTCATAGCTTGCATATACAGGCAGTCCCCGGGTTACGTACAAGATAGGGACTGTAGGTTTGTTCTTAAGTTGAATCTGTATGTAAGTCGGAACTGGCATCCAGGTTCAGCCGCTGCTGAAACTGACCAGTTTCAACAGCGGCTGAATCAGGACGCCAGTTCTGACTTACATACAGATTCAACTTAAGAACCCCAGGCATCCCCAAGTCAGCTGCTGCTGAAACTGATCAGCGGCTGATTCCAGGAAGCCCGGGGCAGG